ATTGACTATGAAGGCTACTCCATTTCTTCTGAGGGATTCTTGCCCGCAGTAGTATACCTGATGGTCATCTGAATTAAATTCACCCATTCCTGTCCATTTGAGTTCACTGATTCCTAAGATGTCGATGTTCAGTCTTGTCATCTCTTGTTTGACCACATCCAGCTTGCCTTGATTCATGGATCTTACATTCCAGGTTCCTATGGGGTATAGATCTTTGCAGCATCGGACTTTCCTTTCACCACCAGATACATCTGCAACTGAGTGTCCTTTTGGCTTTGACCCAGTTGTTTCAGTCTTTCTGGCGCTACTAGTACTAGCCCTCCGCTCTTCCCCAGTAGCATATTGGACACCTTCCAACCTGAGGGGCTCATCTTCCAGCCTCATACCTTTTTGCCTTTTGGTACTGTCCATGGGGTTTTCATGGCAAAAATACTGGAGTGGGTTGCCATTTCCTCCTCCAGTGGATCGCGTTTTGTCAGAGCTCTCTGCTACGACCTGTTCATCTTGGGTGGCCCTGCACGGCATAGCTCATAGCTTCATTGAGCTACGCAAGCCCCTGCACTATGACAAGACAGTGATCCATGAAGGGGAGCAATACCATAAAACAATACAATCAAGCAAAACAAAAGCTAAATAAAACAATCGATCCCAGGTGGTTCAATGGTAATATGAGATGTGGCGTTACCTATTTAACCATTAAAATACAAGGAAAATAAAAACAATTTAACCTGGTACAGAAAAGCATATAACTTCAGCTCTAGGGCTACACCTATTGGTTCCATAGTCACGGCACCACAGCAGAAAAGCTGTAGCCTTGTACCCACCCTCCTTACATCTTTTAAAGCTGGCACACACAGAAGGACCTCAGCGGATGACCTTAAGGTGGGTGTATATGGGATATTCAGGCCCTAAACATTTACGGATTAATACGTTAATGTGACCACCTTAAAGCACCTTATATGATGCTGCAGTTTTGGTGTGGGATAGATCTCTAACCACTATTGTGGGTACTCCAAATGTGTTAAATTTCTAACTTTACCTTCTGGAACCCCTGCTGCCCTAGTTCAGGCAGTGTTTGCTTTCCCATCACACCTTGTATCTATTGTTCTCTAATTATTGAATTTGAAAGACTGGTCTGCTAGGATAACTTACAAACAGGTGTCAAACTCTAAATCTTGGAGCTTAAGATATCATAATTTGCTGCAAACTTCTTGTATTTCAACTGATCTATTTTTTACCTTGCATTCAAAAAAGAGGCTTCATGAACTACACTGAGATCCACAATAGTGTAGTGCTTAAAGTGTTTGAATGGGATCTGGGAGATATGAGTTCTAGTCCCCACTTGGCCACAAAGCTCACTGACTTTGGGCCAGTCACTCTTGGCCAAAACTACCTAATCAAAGCACAGGCTCATTACTTCCTCTTGCTCACAAAAGCATAGCGGTGTGCATGGTCCTTGTGCCATCTCAACATCAGGAAAGAAAACTCCCTAGTTTTGTGTAAGCAGGCTGTCATAGTCAGAGCAATGCTAACTAAAGCTCTATTGTACTAATGTAAGCAACTAGATTTTATTGCCAAGCAAACTAAGCAACTTAAAGTGCTAGAGACCCAGCCCTGTCTAATCAAGAGTTAATAGAATATGGGGGAGGGGGTAATGAAATTGGTATAGAAAGTAAATCTGTCAGAAAAAGCTTGAACATTAAATCTGAATAAACTTTACCAGGCTTCATGGGCTGACTTTTTCTTACTTGAAGAGATGATTTGCTAACAGGGCGATACAGCTGTTACAAATGCTGCTGAAATAGGTCTGTTTCTGGCTATGCACTGATGCACAATAGAATAAAAATAGTCATTTGTGGGCGGGCGGGCATCTTAACACTCTTTCTCTTAAGAATTTTAAGGTTCTGAGCCACTGCGGCTTCAAAGTGATGGTGGCTTACTGTGATGGTGAACCCAGGTCATGTCTTACAGGGTTTTGTAGCCAACTCTGGGCTGCTAGTGTCATCTGACACAACAAACCCAGGTGTAGCCTAAAACACTACTTTGCCATGGGACTAGAGAAGCACAGGCTTGCTGTTCTGGCACAGCATGTCTGATAGGAGCAAGGCAGGCGGGCTGTCATCAGACTCCAGTGACAGTATGTGGCTGGTGTGGAAGAGATCACTCCAGTAGGCTTGCAAGTGCAATCTCTCCCCAGCTGTTCCCACCTGCCATTTCAGGTTGCAGGGCTGATGGGGAATGAGCCATGCTGCATACACCCTGTCCCATGCTGCTCCCACCTGCCCTGCCATAGTACACCACATTCTCAGGGCCCACCATGGTTCTTCAAGCCCTCTTCAAGGCTTGAAGGGCTGGCCCACAACCTTCCCACTGCTGCCAGGCAGAGCTACATTCCTCTTGGCCCTTGGAGAGGAAGCTGAACTGAACAGGGCTCATCCCTGCCACTGCAAGTCCTATGCACTTTTGGGCAGCTGTCATCCTGACTCCCCACAACACTCACATCACTTGGGATCAAATCCTCCAAATTTTCCAGACTTTGGGAGTGGACACACAGCAGCCAAGAGAGAACATGGAAGCTGGCATTCCACACACTCTACACAGAAGCATCGACTCTGGTTGTTCTGTACAATTTCTACAGTAGTCGTGGAAGTCTCCCTTTTCTGGCTCAAGAGTATGTACAGGGTGAAGGGAAAAGATGAGGCCATGCTCTTCCAATGTCTGTGAGTTCAAAGCAGTTTCAAATGTGGCTGCGACGTAATCAACGCAAGAGGCCCGCTAGATTCGTTCTGAAAAGCAAGCAAGCTTCAGGCCAGGTTCTAGGCACGCCTGCTTGCTGGGCAGTTGGCCCTAAAGAACTCAGCGGGTTCTGCTTCGGCGGAGACACGCATGAGGCCCGGCTCGACTCTCCTGCACAGGACCGAAGGGACCAAGCCCAGGAATGCGGCCCTAGCAGATCCACTGTCCTGCTCCACCGACCCATCGCCCGCCCCACACGCGGCTGGAGGCTCGACGGCGCGCGCGCTCACCGCAGCTCGGGCGTTGCAGGGCCGGGAAACGGGCGGCGCGTGCGGGCCGGGCTAAGCGGCTCCTTCCACTGGGTGGCGATGCCGCGTAAGTTCGGCAGCGCTGAAGTGTAACCGCGCGAAGAGGACACGCCGCTGCGTGGCTACCGTTTCCTTCCCGACCGTTTTTCCCGTGACGCTCCTGTTCCATGGAGCGGCTCGCGGGCTGAGCTTCCCATGCCTTCTCCTACCTAAGCTGCCGCGATGAGCCTTTGTCACTGCTGCCTCGGTGAACTGTTGGCGTGGGCTTTTCTGTCTCTGATGTTGCTCTTGTCCAAAGTGCAAGGTGAGAGAGGAGAGCTCCCGGGTACTCGCCAGTATTCACTTTCTGAAATGAGAGCTCTCTGGGCTCTCTCTGGCTTTGAAAACCCATCATCTGCTACTGCAAGTATACTGTGGGTGCTGATTGAGACCCATTAGGGGACATGGCAAAGACACTCAGTCCATGTTCAGAGGAGCTGCCTGCTTTGATACTGCGGTGGAGTTTTGGTATTCAGCTCAGATTCCTGCTTGCAAACTGTGTTGGGTTTCTGCGTGAGCCCAGAGCTCCCCCAACCTTGTTGTTGCAGGTCATTCTTTGCTTACCAGGGGTGTTGTTAAGTCCATAAATTTGTGGTGCAAGTCCACAAAGTGGCATTTCACTTGTATGTGCTGAAATTCTAGAACTTAAATTTCACAGAAGTCTATGTAATTAGTTGCCCTGCTGGATCATTCACCCTAATACAGTCTACCGGCTTGTATTTCTAGAAGAGAACAAGCATATGGTCTTCACCAAGTAAGGCTGGCTGGAACAGAATTACTGATACATGGTTTATTAAAACATGATAGCACACTTGCCTGACAGAATGTTGTGAGCCGCCCCAAGGCTTCGGCAAATGGGGCGGCATAGAAATGTTTTCAATCAATCAATCGGAATGTAAGTCATAACTCATGGTGTCAGAGCACGGTCTTGATATGCCCCACAAGCTTAGAGGGAAACACACACAGGGATTTCATGCAAGTTGAACAATGGGCTGGTTCTCAGGACAGCTTAGGAGCAGTCCAGTTCATGTTTAGATTTTTAAAAATGGTCTGTGCTTGCTGGAGAATGCTGGGACTTCTGCATTTTTACTTTTTAAATATGCATACCTCACTTTAAAGGACTGAAGATCATAGAATCATCTAGAGTCAGAAGGGGCCTGTAAGACGAGTCCTACTCCCTGCGCAATGCAGGACTCCAAGTTAAAGCATCCCTGAGAGATGGCTGTCTAGTTGCATCTTGAATGCCTGTAGTGTGAGAGAACAAACAGCCTCCATAGGTAATGGGTTCCATTGCTATAGTGCTGTCTAGCTAGAATCTGGCTTCCTGTAACTTGAGGTTTCAAGTTATTTCGTGTCCTACACTGTGGGATGATTGAGAAGAGATCCTGGCCTTCCTTGGTGTGACAGCCTTGCAAGTATTTGAAAAGTGATTAGGTCTCCCTTAGTGTAATTAGGTCTCCCTGGTGTAAAGTGGGATTTAGTTCTCCTGGTCTGTAGTTCTCAAGAACCTCCCCCCAGGAAGGAGGTTCTTGAGAACTACAGACCAGTTTTTCTTTACCCTTTTTGAAGTTAAGGGCAACATTAGCCCTCCCTTGTCATCTGGTACTTCACTGCCCTCCATTTCTCAAAGATAATAGTGGTTCTGAGAGTTCTTCTGCCAGTTCCTTTATTACTCTAGAATGCAGTTTATAAGGCCCTGGAGAGTTAAACTCATTCAAAGAATTATTTTTCTTTGACCATTTGTTGATTAATCCTAAGTTTCAATCTGACCCATCAGCTTGTACTTCATTTCTGCCAGTGCATAGACCTGCTTGAGACCTGCTTGAGACCTGAGCCAAGTAGAAATTGAACACTTAGGCTTTTTCTTTGCCATCTGTTACCAAGTTGCCCTTCTTAATGAAAAGTTGAACCACCATTTCTTTTCTCTGTTGTTTGTTGTGAACATACAGCAGAAAAAAGGTTTTGTTGTTGTTTTGATCATCCCTTGCTAGCTTCAGTTCATTCTCAGCTTTAGACCTTCCTGATGTCATTCCTACACTTATCTGCCATGTGTTTGCACTCTTTTGTCACTTGGCCTTCCACTTCCCATACAAGTCGTCCTTGTTTTTACCATAACTTCAAGTTTTTTGTGGAGCCACATTGCTTTCTTCTGTCGCCTGCTATCTTTTGTTTTTGTTGGAATTGTTTGTAATTGTGCCTTTAAATTTTCCTTTTTTAAAAACTCTCACCCAATCTTGTACTCCTTTTTTCCATAGGATCAGTTGCCCAGAATCTTACTTATCATTGTCCTGAGTTATTAAAATCAGCTTTCCCAAAATCCAGAGTGCATGCATGGCTACATTCCATTTTTGCTTCCTTTAAAATCAAGAACTCAAATATGTTGTAGTCACTTCCCCCTGTAGTTTTCATCACTTCCACTTTATCCGTATTAGTCAATATTAAGTCATTAAGTTGAGAATAGCTGATTATCTAGTACCTTCCTCCACTTTCTGCAGAAGAAAGTTATCCACCACGCATTATTATTATTTTCATTAAAAAGTGGAATACTGAAAAAGAAAAAGGATACCAGGGGATCTTACACAAATATTACATATGATATCAAGATCAAGAGCTTTCACAAAAAGTCAGTAGTTGTTATCTCTTCTACACTCAGTTAATTAGTACTTAACTGAAATTTATAGAGCAATTATTCTAATTTATAATTCTTAATATTGACTTATTTTCCACTGATTTCAAATTACAACAAAGCGTTTAAAATTAAGATTAAAATGTTTTAAAATAATAACTCACTAATGATATTTTACAAGCTCTGTTAAGTACATTGTATATAGTAAGCTTTCTATTTATCATCAAATTCTTCAGCTGTCTGCTGTTTATGGACTTAGTTGGTTTTGCCATTACTGAATATTCAACTAGCTTATTTTTCCAATCTCTTTAGTTGTGTAGTCTTTTGCTTTCAGTTCTGATGCTCTTACAACTCAGCTGCTTCTATAATATATTTAAATAACTCTACCATAGCCCTGTTAGATGAAAATGCACAGAGGAGGTAGAGCATGCTGGACAGCAGTGACGGGAGAGGTGACAGTATGTGGGTGGAGTGGCAATGATGGCAATGAGAGGAAGGATGAACCAGTGGCAAGAGGATGGCAAAAGCAAGGAAGAAGAGGTGAGGGGGCCTTTAGCAGCCTGGCGCAATCCATAAGGGAAACCAGAATATAACTTGTTTCAGCAGGGCCTATCAGGCTGTGGCTGGTTAGTGTGTACTAACTCCAGATCTATAAGACCCCAGTCATGTAGATCCATAAAGAAAAAACAACAACATGAAGCTATGAATCCAGATTTCAGTGCACCAGTGAAGTTTGTCCGTTTATCCTTGCTTCAAAACTACTTCTCTGTTGTTATCTCCAGGTGACTGTGGCCGTCCAGTGACACCCCGGTATGCCACACCAAAGAATGATCTCAAAGACAGCTATGCTGCTGGGAGTGTTGTGCAATACCATTGCATCCCAGGGTATGAAAATATACCTGGAACAACTCCTTCTGTACGATGTCTAGACCCAAACTGGTCAGCTGCTCCTGTGTTTTGTCGAGGTGAGTACGTTTATCACAGTTTTACCTTTGCAAACCACAAAAATATTGACATATGCACAGATCCAACACATTCAGAAGCTTTCAGCAGTTCAGTTTCCAATCTATATCTTGTGCAGAGAAGAGCAAAAAGCTGCTCATGTACAACTTAGAGCAGCCATCCTCAGCCACACAAGTTACCTGCCATTATTTTGCATGTAGGCTGAAACAGACCCCGTTGCTTCAGAAAGTTAGGAAATATTATAAATGGGGATGTTATGAAATTTTGGGAGCTTAGAATGGGATGGATGGTTATCCTGAATGGTTGGTTATTCCTTCCACTAGCAACCTGGTAAATGCTGTCAAGACTGTAGCTAAACCAGTGCTGCTGTGGAACAAGATCACTGTGGGAACTGTGAGGTTTACTGAATGGGGGGCTGGGGGGCAGGGGCGGCTTTTTGAGAAAGTGAGAGAGACTTGAGAACAGCAGGCTAGCTGGGGAAGCGCGTAACAGGCTGCACGGTAAACACAGCTCTACCCCCACCCCAGACACATCTCCAGAATTTCCTACCTCCTGGATGTGTCATCTGAGGCTGCCACATTACTCTGCTTAATGGGAAGGCCAACCCTGCCCAGGAGAAAAGTACAAGAGAATGAAGATAGGTCTATAGCTAGCTAAGGCATGTTTAGCCTTGAGCTCATACTCTTCCATTCCCCATATCCCTTTGCTATTCAGCTAGTACCCTCTAGGTCCTTATCCTGAAAGTCTTCATGTCATCACTCTCTCCTGGAGGAGTTCTGTCAGTTCAGAATGAGGACTGGTCATGCTCAGTCAGTTGGAAAAGAAATAGGAAAAATGTGTGTGCTTGTGAGTGCAAAGGTAAATCCTGGAGGGTGACATGACTGTCTCACACCTTCCCATCTGGAGGCGAGGATACATTACAACAGCTTCCTGTAGGCTCCAATGTTCCTTTCTAATGCACAGTTTTCCTAGACATTCTCAGCTTTTCACCACTGTTGACCTTAGTACTTCTGTTATTGTCATTCTAAAATTCAGCTGTGCACTTAAACAGGAGAAAACGTTCCTAGCACTTTAACTGTCCCTGCTGTTGGGTACCTGCTAGCTGTAGGATTATGTAGAATAACAAGTAGCTCTTCTCTATTCAACACCTTAGGCCTCCTGGATGTATTTCTCCAAAGCTAAGTAGTCTGTTGCTTTTTTTTTTTTTTTAATAAAATGTTTGTTACTGAAAGTCAAAGGAGCATTAGAAATCTTCCCACAATGCCAGTATGGAGTTGGAAATGGTTGGTTGTTTTGAATAACTGCTGACCAAAGTACCATCCATGAACATTAAGGTGCACTTGTCTGAGATAACTCTCTTTTTATCATAATTATACAGAGATAAGAATTTTAATTCAAGCAATCCAAGTATGTAAACCTACAAGGATTCAAATGACCTGTCCTGACTATGACCCATAAAATTTATTTTTTCCTAAATAGAACATATTCCCTTTATTACTTGGTAAAAGCTGTCTGGTTTTATCCACATAATTTATATAAATACTGAATATACAAATCTATTTCTTGCTGCTAGAATTAAAACATCAACAGTATCTCTTCTGTCATCTGCTTTGCATGCTTCAGCTCATTTGCTTGTTATATCTCAGTCAGATCTCAGCTCCCTTTCTTGTTCATCTAATGTAAATAAACAGCTGAACATTGACTGCCTGTCAGATATATTTTGACTAAATAAGTAATGAATATAAATTGTATCAGGAGCGCCTATAGTAACCTTCCCTTTTCTTGTGACATATGTATATAAGAAGCCACCACAGGTGATTTTTGCAGAAGAGTTTGTTGTTACAGTGGGGCTACCATCTTCAATATTTGAACCATGGCAAAAGCACACTGTAGCTTATAATTATGTGTGCACCTGGCAAGCTGCATTGTTGGAATGGTGAACAATCAGCCTGCAATCCTAAAATCAGCCATACAGTCCAGGTGGCTATCCCATTTCCATCCCTTCTGCTGAGAAGCTTTCCACTCAAGGGAATCAAGTAGAAAGACCTCTAACCCAGAAGGTTATGGGGTGCAACATGGCAGGGGCCAGACCTGTCAGTATCAGCAGCTCTGGCTTCACTCAGAAAGGATGAACAAAATGAGACAACTCTGACAGCTGTATAAGTTTCTTTGAATGCTTCACTCTATCAAACCAATGGCTATTTTGAAGCCAGCTTTATTCATTAGCAGGCTAACAAAACTACCAATAAAATCTGCAGCAGACTGGAGGTTTCTCTCAGTCTCTCAGGAGGAGGATGCATAGCATAGACTAGCTACATCCAACCGAATTTGGTCTATATACAGATGACTGGTCTACTTCACACTCTGTCTCCATAACAGTTTGATTATACATTTAGTGTTACAGGGTGGGGGGTTGTTTTCATTTTTTACCTGCAATGATACCATCCTTCAAATAGGTCCATTTGACTTAATGTGTGAATTATCTCCTTTGTGTTAGTTGGCACTCTGTTTTAGGAAGCATGGTGGCAAAATTGGTTCCCCCCCCCTTCTTTTTTTGAAGCAAGGAAATGCCGTTCTCCAGATTTAGAAAATGGACGAATAACATCCCCAGGTGATCTTGCGCTTGGTTCTGAAATAACCTTCACCTGTGATCATGGGTAAGTTACATGCAACCTGTCAAAAGACAAAAATGTATTTTTACTTAGTGTTAATGTTAAAAATCTGAGCTATTAACCATTTAGTATAATTATTTATCTCCTATCTTTAAGGCCACAAATCTTACAAAGGCAAGTCTCAAGTAAAACCAGACTACATTAATAAAATCACAATAAAGCAATATTAAAGTATAACTCATCAGAACACTTTCTGTAGGGTAATTGGTGTCGGTTGGCCCTGGGTAGCATATTGTAGGGAGAGAGAATCAGGAATAAACCCACAGGACCAGGCTCTGATACCATCTGTTCATGTCATTCTTATCCCCATTATTACATTTGTTGTTGTTAGTTGCAAAGTCATGTCCGACCCATCACGACCCCATGGACAACATTCCTCCAAGCCTTCCTGTCCTCCGCCATCCCCCAGAGTCCACTTAAGCTCACACCAACTGCTTCAGTGACTCCATCCAGCCACCTCATTCCCTGCCGTCCCCTTCTTCTTTTGCCATCTGTTGTTCCCAGCATTAGGCTCTTCTCCAGGGAGTCCTTCCTTCTCATTAGGTGGCCAAAGTATTTGAGTTTCATCTTCAGTATCTGGCCTTCTAAAGAGCAGTCAGGGTTGATCTCCTCCAGGAGTTACTACATTACATGATTTTAAAGCCTTGCTATCCTTAAAAGTTTTTCTGGCAAACTGGATTGAAGATGCACAGTTCTGTATGGTAAAAATTATGGGACTCTGGCATTGTGTTTCTGAGGATTCTAAATATGTACGGACTAATTGTATTTTGGGTTACATTGTCCTGCTTTTGGCAGAAAAATCATTCCAAGGTTTCCCCTTGCATTGTCTTTTGTGTCTTCATTTCGAGAAAAATCAAAAAGTTCTGTGCACTGTGGTGGTAGAGATGAGGCCTAACTACACAGTCTAGAGAAAGAGAGTCAGCAACTGGACAGAAGCAACCCTGTGCACTGCTTCTCATCGAGTGTACCATCCAGAATGAGAGGGTGAGCAAGCAGAGATAACAGCAGCTACAGGAATGGGGAATTGCCATTCAAACCTGCTGTGGGATCCTGCCTGTGGCCTCATCACCTTGACCTTCCTTTCTCCCTGTGTACTCTTTGGATTCCTGTAATACACTCAGTGTGAGCTCTTAGGGCTTGCATGGAAGCTTCATTCTTCTGTACTTTTCTCTGGTGTTTTAGGTGCTTATTTAACACATAGGTATTTGCTTTGGCTTTCCACCAGCCATGAACAATTTTTGTACCAGTGTTATGATACTCTGTGTGTGTTGGGGAGAGTTGTTTGTCTTCTTTGTTTTTATTCTGTAAACTTCTTTGGGATTTGTTTCAAAAGAGAAGCAGTATAGATTGTTAATAACATTTTTATTGGTGCCAATGGAAACCTTTTCAAAGTTGATCTGTATGATAAATGGGAGACAGGATAAAGTGAGGAAAAGAGAGAGGGATTAAACATATCAGTTCATATTAATATTATAATATTGCCCCCCCAGCCAACAATTTTCAACTGAAGAATTCCCCCTCATGACAGGATAGGTTACTCACTTCAGTTATAAAATAACTTGGGGTCTGCATGAGCATGTTCCTTCATTTTTCTTTCACCTCGCTCTTCCTGGAGTGGCATTTGTAAATGCTTGATCTTGACGTGTGGAGGGCCACTTTGGATATTCAGGTTCTCTTGTATGAAAGCTTTGTAATCTATAATCAAAGCTGTAGCTACATTGAAATTGGGGTTTGTTAGGGTATGGAGACTTACCAGAAGCTTTTTAAAACAACAATCCTGTGTTCTACATTAGGTTATTTGCTACAAAATATTTTAATAATAGCAAATAATATATACTAGCGAATAAGCTAATGTAGAATGTTGTTTGCTAGGCTGATTGGAACCAGTGAAAGAGCCTTTTTAGTGCTGGTGTCCTGCCTAAGGCAAGAAAGATCCTTCCGCAGAAAGGCTGTCCTGGCAACCACTCTTCTGTTTTATTTTGCACTAGGCAAAAATCTCTGTATTTTCCCAGAATCTTTGAGTCAGGAGTGGGCAACATATGGACCCAATGTTTGGAGAACCACGACTTGCATGGTCTCTGACTGACCATTGGCTATGCTGACTAGGACTCATGAAAGCTGTATGCCAAAACATCTGGAGAGCCACATGTTGCCCACTCCAGTTTTAAATGTTGTGTGAACTAGTTTTAATAAGACTGATGAAATGCTGATTTATTTATTTATTTATTATTTATTAGGGATATTTCTAACCTGTCCATTATGGTTCATCTCTGGATGGCTTACAATATAAAACAACCTAATAAATACATCATAATACTACACGACTGAGGATAAAAACATAATTAAAATATTTAAACTTTAAAATTCTGGGTAAATAAAAATGTCTTGACCTGGTGCCAAAAAGCATATAATATCGGTGCCAGGCAAACCTCTCTGGGGAGTACATTCCATAGCTGGGGCACCACCGCAGAGAAAGCCCTCTTCCGGGTGTTCTCTCTCCTACCTTCCTTCAAGGAGGGTTCCCAGAGCAGACCTCTGCTGCAGATCTTAAGGGGCAGGAGGGCATAGAGGAAAAAGACATTCCTTCAGGTATCCTGGTCCCAAGCTGTTTAGGGCTTTATAGGTCAATACCAGCACCTTGAATTGGGCCTGGACTTCAATGGGGAACCAATGAAGCTGATAGGGAACTGGCCCCTGACAGCAATCTGGCAACTCTGTTTTGAACCAATTGAAGTATCTGGACTGCCTTCAAGGGCAGAGTGTAGAGTGTGTTACAGTAGTCCAACCAGGAGGTTACCAGAGCGTGTGTCACCATTGCTAGGCAGTGCTCATCCAGGTAAGGATGCACCTGATGGATCAGTCGAAGCTGAAGGAAAGCGCTCCTCAAGACCACTGCCACCTGAGCCTCCAGGGACAGCTCTGGGTCAAGGAGCACTCCCAAGCTGCAGACCCTGTCCTTTAGAGGGAGTGCAACCTCATCCAGGACAGGACCAAAATCACTTACCTGAAACCTGAACCACCTACCAAAAGGACCTCTGTCTTATCTGGATTGAGTTTTGGTTTATTGGCCCTCATCCAGCCCATTACCTTGGCCAGGCACCAGTTCAGGACAGCCACTGCCTCACCTGGATTGGTTGTAAAAAAAGAGGTAGATCTGGGTGTCATCAGCGTACTGGTGACTCTGCAGCCCAAATCTCCTGATGACCTCTCCCAGCGGTTTCATGTAGATGTTGAATAGCAAGGGGGACAAAATGGAATCCTGCGGTACTCCATGGCAGAGTTGCCATGGTGCAGAGCCATAGTCCTCCAGCACCACCTTCTGGAATCGGCCAGCCAGATAGGAACGGAACCAGTGCCAAGCAGAGCCCCCTATTCCTAATGTGGCCAGCTTGTCCAGAAGGATGGTTGATGACATCAAAAGACGCTGAAAGGTCCAGGAGAACCAAAAGGGATGCACTCCCCTGTCCCTCTCCCTGCGCAGGTCATCATACAGGGTGACCAAGGCAGATTCAGTACCATAACCGGGTCTGAAACCGGACTGAAATGGATCCTGATAGACAGTTTCATCCAAGAGTACCTGGAGTTGTCCCACCACCACCTGCTCCAACACCTTGCCCAAGAATGGGATGTTGGCCACCGGTCTATAAATGGCAGCCACTTCTGGGTCCATGTGCAGCTTCTTCAGGTTGGGTCTGATCACTGCTACCTTCAAAGGGGCAGGGACCCAGCTCTCCCTCAGTGAGGCATTAATAACCTCCTGGATCCAGGTACCAATCCCGTGTTTCGCTTTGGTAAGTAGCCATGAAGGGCAAGGGTCAAGTAAGCAGGTGGTAGGGCATACCAGTCCAAGCACCTTGTCCACATCATCAGGCCGCAACAACTGGAACTCATCCAACAGTGATGGACCAGACGGGGCTCTGGACACTTCCCGTAATGGAACCTATCAACTGTGGAATCCAGCCCATGACGAATCTGAGTGATTTTCTCCTTGAAGTACTGGGCAAAATCGTCACAGTGGGCTCTCGATGGGGCCAATAGATCTTTTTTAGGGCCAGAGTGTATTAGGCCATGCGCCACTTGAAAAAGCGCTGCTCGATGGCACTGTGAGGAGGCAATGAAGTGGAGAAGAATTTCTTCTTTGCCACCCTCACCACCACATCATAGGCTCAGTAGTGAGCACGTAAGCCTGCTCGATCAGATTCATCCCACGATTTTATCTACCTGCCATCTAATGATCTCCCAGCCTGCTTCATCGCCTGTAACTCAGGTGTATACCATGTTGATAAGTGGGCTCTACCTGGAGGGAGAGGACACTTAGGAGCTATCATGTTGATTGCCCTGGTCATTTCCCCATTCCACAAATCAACCAGAGCATCAACAGGAGTGCCAGCTTTATTAACCGGGAAGTCCCCCAGAGCCCTCAGGAATCCATCAGGATCCATAAAGCTCCAGGGGTGGACCGTCTGATACTGATACTGCTCTGCCTAACTGTTCTTGAACAGTTCTTAACTGTTCTTATGTATTTTGCATTTCCGTAAGTGGTTTTGAGAATGCTATCACTGTAGGAATGGCTATACATATATATCATACATACATACATACAGTATCTGTAGGTTTTATTGGTCATTATCCAGTGGCTGATCCTGCCAATTCTGTTGCTCAAGTATCTCCTACCACTTGTGCAACAGCAGTTTAGTCTTCTCCTTTCTAGAAGAGGGCAGGTCAGCAGAATTCGGCCTAGAAGTACCCTAGACTGCTTTGTGTAATGATATTGGTAGGGCTGGCTACATGTGAAATGAAACTGGCAGTGTAATACTTTGCTTTCTTTTTAGGTACAGATTAGTAGGCCAAAAAAATTCTCGTTGTATTGTGACAGGTGTCACAGTTGACTGGAGTGGAGCTATTCCATATTGCCAAGGTAAGATTATATTTTCCTTTAATCTTGCTATGTTTCCTCTTAGTGCTTATCAGTGTAACTCATTTATTGCAAATACTTATTTGCCCAAATTTTGGTATATGCTTGGAATAATCCCCACTGCCTGAAAATTTGGAAGTATTTCTGAAAATTGTTATAGCTCAGTGAGAAGTAGTAACTATTGATCTTAATATATGCTCTCTCCTCAGTCTTTCTATCTTCCACTGATGCTGAATCAAACTAATTTACAAAACCAAGTGTGCTTTCTGCTCTGGTCCAGTATACTAATCACAAAGGTAGCAGCCAACCACCCTGATTGTGTCTGGGTTTGCCTACCCTAAGCTAGTATTTAAAGCTTATGGCCACCCCACCCCCTCATGAGTCAGACTCACTGTTCCTCTGATAGATTAAGCTTCTGCTTGTTCCTTATCAAGAAATAGCTTCTGTTTCCAGAAGTGTATTAGGATAATCTGCCCTTTCCATATACCTTTAGGTTGAAGGTAAGGCTTTTTTCCAACCTGTTTGCACTCTCCCTTCAATATATTGCACTGTATTTTAGACAGATCTATGAGATTGGGTCAAATTAATTAGTATACTCTAATTAATGGAGGCCTCTAAAAGAAATGATTTCCACTTTAGTCTGAATCATTGGACCTCTTACACCTACTTTTCACACAGTTTTTGCCTTGCATAACTATAACAGCTGAACATGATGTGTTGAATAATATATATCAGGATATATGCCATGAATTGCATTTAAAAAGAAACACATTTCCCAGACACTGCCTATCAGAATCACATAAAACTAGGTTATGGTGGGCAATGGCATTGGTCTGTCTAAAATACAGTATAATCCAGTATAATTGGCCTTCGTGACAGGACCGCATATAAATATTCTAAATAAATAAAATAATCTACTCTGACTTGTAGTAAGGTTTGTCTTTCCCTGTCTTGCTTTCTAAGATTCTTTTGACTGGTAGGATAGTCCTGCACCTGCCATAGGACAGTATTTTTAAAAGATATTCCAAGTATCTTGATGTGCGCATTTATTTATTTTTTTTATAAGTTTTATTTGAAATTATAATCCTAAAAAAGAAAAACTAAATACAACATCAAGCATCAAAAACATTGGGCCTGCTGAGTCAGCCCCCACACCCTTCTTTTTCCATTTATGATAACTTAAAAAAGTATTTAAATCTATACGAAGTCCCATTTCTCTAGCCAATAATAAAAAGAGTCCCAAGTTTGATAGAAGTCAGTATCTTCCTTCTCCTTCAATGATAAAGTCAATCTATCCATTTCTGCACAGTCCAGAATCTTTTTTAGAATCAGTTAGGCAGTGGGTAGTTCTTCACTTTTCCAGTGTTGAGCAAATGCAATCCTGGCCACAGTGATTACATGTAAAATCAAATACATTTCTTGTTTACTAATGTCCACCGGTATAATGCCTAATAAAAAAACTTCAGGTTTAAAAACTAAAGGTTTTTGTAACATTTCCTCAAGCCATTTATGTATTTTAATCCAATACTTTTTCACATTATCGCAGGTCCACCACATATGATAAAAAGTACCCAGTTTATGTTTACATTTCCAACATCCGTTTGACATATTTGGAAACATCTTAGCTAATCTATTTGGCGACAGATACCATCTATAAAACATTTTATACAAGTTTTCTTTATATGAAGTTGCTAATGTTACCTTAATATTTCTCTCCCATAGCTTTTGCCACTTTTCTAATTAAATATTATAGCCAAAATTTTGTGCCCATGTTATCATGATTTCCTTAACCTGTTCATCTTCCTTTCTCCTATCAAGTAAAAAAATCATATAATCTTTTAATCATTTTCTCATCTGATTTAAGCATCGCTTGATCAAACGCAGTTAAATCCTTATAAAAACCCCATGCTTTATAGTTATTAGCATATCTCGATTGTATCTGCACCTTGTGCCATCAAGAGATATTAGATCCCTGTTCTTGAGTTTCTTGATTCAATTTCAATCCTCCATCCTTATCCAAAATGTCATCCTATCTTATAATCCGTTCAAAATTCAATGCATTTGGATACACAAAAGCTTCCATGGATGAAAGCCATGTTGGTAAATTGTTATACAGTTTTATCTTTAACTTTTCCCAAACCGACATTAATGATTTTCTAATATAGTGACTTAAAAAAGAGCAATGTGACCTAGCCTTCTCATGCCACATATAAGCGTGCCAGCCCATTTGCAAATCATGCCCTTCAACATACAAAATTCTCTTATTTCTTAAAGTTATCCATTCTTTTAGCCACGTTAAAACAGAAGCTTGATAATACAACACCCAGTCAGGGAGACCAAAACCCCTGTTCTCTTTAACCTCCTGAAGTATTTTTAATTTAATCCTTGGTTTCTTCTTTCTCCATATAAATCTTGAAATTTGAAAATTTAAATCATCAAAAAATTTTCTATCAATTTTTATGGGAATCATTTGGAACAAAAACAAAAGCTTTGGTAATATATTCATTTTAACTAGTGCTATTCTTCCCAGCAAGGATAATTGCAAATTAGCCCATTTTTCCAGAGCACTCTTAATATCCTTCAATAGTTTATCATAATTTTCTTCTTTCAGAGTAGTACACTTAGCTGTAAGATAAATTCCCAGATACTTAACCTTTTTAACAATCTGCAAATCTACTTGTTCCTGCAGGGTTTTTCTCTGGTCTTGTGTAAAAATTTTTACTAAGTTTCGTCTTTTCTCTATTTATTTTCATCCCAGTAACCTCGCCATATTCTTCAATCCTTTGTAGAAGTTTAGGCATTGTTGCAAAGGGTTCCTCCGTTAAGAAAACTAGGTCATCTGCAAATGCTTGCAATTTATAGCTTTCATCTCTAATTCTAGTACCTTTAATGTCCACATCATCCCTGATATTTCTATTCAACACTTCTAAAATCAGTATAAACAACAGAGGTGATAACGGGCATCCTTGTCTTGTACCCTTTTATATCTCTATAGTCTTTGTAAATTCTCCATTAATTAGAATCCTAGCCGACTACTTTTGATAAATTCTTGATATCGCATCAATAAACTTTTCACCAAACTCCATTTGAGTCATCTGTTGCTTCATAAATTGCCAGTTGACATTATCAAAGGCCTTCTGTGCATCCATGAATAATAAAGCCATTGGTTTTTCCGTATGCATCTCATAATACTCTAAGATATCCAAGATAGTTCTCAAGTTATTCCTCATTTGTCTTTTAGGCAAAAAACCATTTTGGTCTGAGTGAATAAAATCTATTAGATACTTCTTTAATCTTTCTGCCATTATGGAGGCAAAAATTTTGTAATCCACATTTAATAATGATATGGGTCTATAATTTTGAATCTGTGTCAAGTCCGTATCTTCTTTCAGTATTAATGTGATATTTGCCTCTGTCCAAGTATTTGGTATTTTAGCATTTAACAGTGCTGCATTACATATATCTTTAAGAAGTGTAGCAAAGATTCCTTCAAAGGACTTATAAAACTCTGCTGGCAGCCCATCCGGGCCAGGAGTTTTATCATTCTTTTGCTGCTTAATTGCCTCTATTACTTCCATGGTTGTTACTTCTTGATTCAATACTTTTTGATATTTCTCCAGTAGTTTTGGTAAATCTCCCTTTCGGATGTATTCTTTTACTTTCTCAGTTGAAATCTCATCATTCTGGTATAGCTTTGCAAAAAAATCTTCTGCTATTTTCTTAATGTGTATACTTTGAACTTGTAGTCAACCTTCTCCATCCTTCAATTTAGAAATCAGTCTCTTCTCTCTCTCTTTCTTTACTTTATAGGCTAACCATCTCCCTGGTTTATTAGCATTTTCAAAGAAATTCTGTTTGGCCAATTTCATTTGCTTAGTAAGTTCATTTGTGTCCAAGAGATTCAGTTTATGCTTTAAAGCATGCTTTAGAACTATGCTTAGTTTATGCTAAGGTCATTTGGACCTTAAGGGGTTTTTTTGGATGGATCTTCCTGTAGCTCTTGTTCCCATTTCATCAATTCCTCCACTATTTTTGCTCATTCTTGCTTTTTCTTTTTGTTTATTTTTGCTGAATATGTTATTATCAATCCCCTGACATAGACTTTGGCTGTATTCCGGACATTTTGTAAAGAGGTTTCTTCAGTTTTATTTATTTGAAAGAATACTTGAATTTCCTTATTTATATCTTCTATGAATTTTTTATCCTTTAATAAGGCTTTATTTAAGCTCCATCTGGGCGTCATTGCTGTTCCTTTCAGTGATATAGCTACAGGGTTGTGATCTGCCCAGGCATTTGCCTCTATTTCAGCTTCTACCAAATCTGTTACTAAGTCTGGGGTTATCCAAACCATATCAATTCTAGACCATGACCTATGTCTATTTGAGTAAAAAGAATATTTAGCAGAGGTTGGATTTTTATGCCTCCAAGCATCTATCAGAGTTCTTCGATCATATTAGAACAAGACTTTGGAAGTATCCTTCTGCCCTTTTTTCCCTTAATCTCACTCTTATGGTCCATTTTCTTATTCACAATTGCATTGAAATCTCCCACTACACACACAGTCTGGTAGCCCACTTGTAAGAGTAAAGCATGTAATTTTTGGTAAAACATTTCCTGATGGTCGTTTGGGGCATATATCGCCACTAAAAGCTTGACGTGTGCATTTATATGCCCATGCAGGAGCACATTTAACTTGCATAGACATGTCCATTCTGCTGCATGAATTCTTTCACTGCCTCTTTCCAAAAGGTTTGCTACATGATGCAGTAACTCATGACTGAATGCCTGTAGTAAGCTCACAACCTGTGCAGGGAGAAGGACAGGGGGAGTACATCCCTGTTGGTTCTTCTGGACCTCTCGGCGGCTTTCGATACCATCGACCATGGTATCCTTCTGGATAGACTTGCGGGATTGGGGGTTGGAGGCACTGCTTTGCAGTGGTTCCGCTCCTATCTCGACGGTCGATTCCAGAAGGTAGTGCTGGGGGACCATGTCTCTACGTCATGGCAGCTATGCCATGGGGTACCACAGGGCTCCATTCTATCCCCTCTGCTATTTAACATCTATATGAAACCGCTGGGAGAGGTCATCAGGAGGTGTGGGCTGCGGAATCATCAATACGCTGATGATACCCAGCTTTACCTCTCATTCTCCACTAATCCAGGTGAGGCAGTGGCTGTGCTGAACCGGTGCTTGGCCGAGGTAAGGGAATGGATGAGGGCCAATAAACTGAAACTCAACCCAGACAAGACGGAGGTCCTGTTGGTTGGCGGATCGGGTTTCGGAGAGGGTGGATTTGACCTGGTCCTGAATGGTGCAACACTCCCTCTTAGGGACAAGGTCCGCAGCTTAGGAGTACTCCTCGACCCGGAGCTTTCTTTGGAAGCTCAGGTGACAGCGGTAGCGAGGAACGCCTTCCTTCAGCTTCGGCTGATTAATCAGCTGCGCCCCTACCTGGAGTACGACTGCCTGGCGATGGTGACACACGCGCTGATGACTTCCCGCCTAGACTTCTGTAACGCGCTTTACGTGGGGCTTCCCCTGAAGACAGTCCGAACACTTCAATTGGTGCAAAATAGAGCTGCCAGGTTGCAGACGGGGACGGGGCGTTATGCTCACATGACTCCAGTCCTCCATCAGCTTCACTGGCTTCCCATTGAAGCCCGGGCCCAATTCAAGGTGTTGATTATGACCTACAAAGCCCTAAACGGCTTGGGTCCTGGCTACCTGAACAAGCGCTTACGTCCGTATATGCCCGACCACCCTTTGAGATCTGCGGGAGAGTCCCTTCTCCGGGAACCCTCCATGAAAGAAATTAGGAGAGTAAGTACCCGGAGGAGGGCTTTCTCTGCGGTGGCGCCCAACCTATGGAATTCACTCCCCAAAGAGGTCCGCCTGGCACCGTCGTTACTGGTTTTTCGGCGCCAGGTAAAGACCTTTTTATTTAAACATCATTTCAATTGTTAAAACATATGATCTGGCCTGGGCAACTTTTTCTTCCTTCTCTTTCTCCTCCTATATTTTTATTTTATACTGATAATTTTAATTTTGTATTTGTAAATCAATGTATTTTTTGTATTTTTATATTTAATGGTAATTTATTATGTACTATTGTATTTCAATGTATTTTATCAAGTTGTAAGCCGCCCCGAGGTTTCGGCAAGGGGCGGCATAGAAATATAATAATAATAATAATAATAATAATAATAATAATAATAATAATTTTCGTAGCAAAATAGAGAATGGACATGTCTTTTCAAGTTAAAGATGTTCCTTCATGGGTCTGAAGCACTTTCTCATGGCAGGTTCTAAATTAAGATGTCAGAGATTCAATATGAGATCTTCTAAAAGCAAAAGCCTGTACTCTATCGCTAGCTATGGTCCCTCTCCACTTTATTCCATGTAGCAGATCTAGTATCTGCACCGTCTGGTATAACGGTTACCCTGCACAATCTAGCTTGACAGATTCTGTTCTAAAATTTCTGATTGGGCTGTTGGCAAGCATTCATGTTCTATGATATAGAAGAAGAAGGAACCTTCAAAATATGGAGTAGAGTTTAAGCAAGTTCCATAGCATTTGAAATATTTCAATATATGAATATAAGAATATATACAGTGCCTTGCAAGCAGACTTCTACTCAAGCATCATTTCATTTCCTTTTTTACCTCTTTCACATCTCCCAAATTGGATCCAAAGCATGTCCAACCTTCTAAAGTAGATTTTGGATGGATACAGTGGGAAGCCCTCATTGATTTAGTGATTTGGGTCGAGGGTGGGCAAAACACGTGGAAACAAGTTGGGTACAATCCTTCTTGCTGTTTCTGGTGGCAACATTCTGAAGTATATGTATACTGTTTTCAAATTACTATTTCAAACAGCTGAACACATTTTTCAATTGAAATATCATTCATCGGTTAACATACAGCCCTAATTATGTTTTCTCAGTCTCCTTAAACAGTTGAACAGGTGGACATTTTTTTCAATCAAAATAACAGCAGACCACTAAAGCCTTAATAGCAGTGTTTTTGTAATTAGTCTTCTTGAACAATTAATGTGATTCTTTCCCCCAGAAATTCTTTTTCCCCCAATTAGTCTACCTGGACAGTTAACATTTATTCTTTAGCTTTTTATACTTATTCTTTAACTTTATCCTCAGCAATCCTTTGCTATCCACCGCCAAAAATTGCCCATGGAAGACATTCTGGTGAGGACGATGGTGAATATACATATGGCAGTTCAGTAACATACAGATGTGATGCTGGTTTTTCCCTTATTGGTTCTGCAAGTATCTCATGTTCAGTTAAAGCCAATGGTGTGGACGGAGAGTGGAAACCAAATGCACCAGAGTGTAAAGGTAAAGGAAGTTCATGTTTGGCATCATAGCTGCAGTATGTTATATTGCTTGCATTGTGTTTAATAACTAGAAAATAGATTTTTTTGCCAGAATATGATCATTGTGTGATGCAACAGGAACATGGTTGCAGGGTAGCCTCTGTGAATTTCATTTGGACTGGGAGTGATTTAGTGGGGGCAGTGTGCTGCTACTATGAGTCATTCTAGGAGGTATTTATAGCCCTCATCCAGCTAAAATCTGCCAGCTGGCAACTCCTATAGGAAAGCTTAAACAACTTACCATTTCTCAGGCCTTGCCATGTACTGCTGTTTGCTACTATTTTTGCTTTTTGCTGTAAGAGAAACTTCCATCCATCCTGATCAAAGCTGACAGAGGAAGAAAAAAATTCTTCTAGTTTGGTTTCCAATCTGAGTCTGCCATGCTTGTCTCCTGGGAAGGTCTTACCTCCCAGAAGTTTACAGTGGAGAGAGATGCCCAAGGAAATTTGTAGGGAGTTGCTTCAATGAGATGCAAGGACTAACTCCTCACACCAGGTTGACTGTCCTTTGTGTGTGGGCATGGGGTGGGGTGGGGTGGGGTATGCAGGCTGGCTTCCCCTAAGTATCATTAGGAAGATATGGAGGCAAGTAGGGTGACCAGTTCCTGTGGCTACTGGTTGAAGGGATCTATGGCTTTGAGAGGAAGGTTAACCAGATAAGAAAAAGGTGGTATGGAAATCAAATAAATAAATAAATAAATAGGGCAATAACATCAGTGAAGGTGGGTGGGTCAATGACATCAACCTTTTTAGTCCATTCTAATTGCACCTTTCCCCAAAACCCCTAATGACTACACTCAGTGGCTTCTTATAGATGGGAATGGTCCAACATGCCACCCCTGAGGCCTTCTGTGGCTCTCTTCCCACTGGGAGCCCCCTGTTCCCCCAGTTAAGATCCCAGCCGTGACATGGGTGTGATTGTGACAAGCTCTCATGAGACTGCCAGTACATCCTGCTCAGGCTCAGGAAGAGAGTGTGTCAGGCTGGAAGTCTTGCGAGAGCTCACCCCTGCATGTGCTGCACTTCTCCAGCTGACAAACACAAAGGTGTGCAGGAGCTGAACACCTTTGGGCTTGTCAGCAGGAGTGGGTGGGCCATGCTGGGGAGAGTCTGTCAGCTCAAGTATAAGAAGCGTAGTGCACCAATTTCAAGGAGGAAGGAGGGACCAGGTTCAGTGGCTAATTAAATACATTAATTGTGCGTATTACATTAAATATATTGTGAACATTTTAATTTACAATATGGAAATGTAATTCATTGTGCAGTCCCTGGGTCCTGTGTCAAAGTCCTCAAATGCCCCACAAGGTATGAAATATTGTATTGCCCTGCTATAAACATTCAATAGCATTGGGGGCTAAATGGCAACCTGTGGCACCATGCAAGTTACTTAAAAGGGTGTCACTCTCTGAAATATGATTGTAAAGTTAGGAACAGAATGACTAAAATATAGGTCTTCCAACCTCTAGCACATGTCAGTCTAGGCGGATACAATCTTTCTTAATTCATTAGGCTATTTATTTGAAGCCCAAAGAAATGGAATTCTAATCTGTAGAGGATTTTGGCTAAAAGAAAGTCGTTCATGCTCATTTTCAAGTTTATGGTCCCAGGTCTTTATTTGGTAGAAACACTTTCTTATTTCATGAAATCATAGAATAATATAGTTGAAAGAGGCCAGAGGGCCATTGGGTCCAACCATTGCTCAGGAGATTTAATGCTGCTTGCACTTTCTCTCCCTCTCCCTCCCTCTCTCTCAGATGTTAAATGTAAGAGACCAACAATCCCAAATGGAATGGTGGCAAGTGTATTTCAGGCTGAATACGTTTATGATAATGTCATAAAGATTGTATGCGATGCTGGATATACTTTGCTAGGGAGTGAACATATTAAATGTGGGGCTGACAATTCATGGAAACCTGCTGTTCCAACATGTGCCAAAGGTTAGTGATCTACTATACTCAAATGTCTTTTGGGGAGGCATGTCAAACATCCTATCTCTATATGAAACTAAGACCACTCATTTATTCATTTCAATCAGGTATTTTTACCACCACTACCACCACCACTGTTACTCCAGGAAGTAAGAAAAATGAGACTATAGGTGAGTTACAGCATTACTGGACTGAAACTAATGCCCAGGTTTCAGAATGTGAAATACTGTGATTTAGAATAAACGAAGTGGTGATCCAGAAGTACATGTTCATTCTGTAATTAATCTTGTCTTACCTTCAATTTAATGGACATAGGCAGGAGTACAGAAAGTGTGCCCATTGGCTTGAGTGTGCCTATAGAATATTTCCGTTCCTTCAGAAAGCAAACCACCATGTTGCATTACAAACTGTATTTGGCAATGCCTTTGCTTTCCAATCAGCATGGCATGAGGAGCAAACAGAAGTTCCCTTGGGCAGACAGAGCTAGTTGCTGCATGAGTCTTTGGATCCCAGTTAATGAGGATTTTGGAAACTGGTTCCACTTCAATACTCTTCAAACAACTCCATTTGCATGAGCATAGTTCAAAATGAATTTATGTCCACACCCTTTTATGAGGAAGGGACAAGTTTTCTAGGTTCAGTAACAGGATTAACCATTATTCTACAGGCCTCCCTACATGAGGCATTTAACCCAATGCTTTACCAAGAATGCTTCCTGTGAAATTAAAAGAGCATTCTTTATACCATTCCCTCCCCCCCACCCGCCGGGGGCTTTCTTTCTCTTCCTTCCTATATGTTCTATCAATGTAAGGAATTGCAGATATACATGTGGTTTTTTTATCATGATAATTAAATAATAATTCGTTATCCTCCTCCTAAGAAACAGGGAACTTGCTTGGGAAGCATGGGAGAGGCCCTGGAGGATGCTGACTTGGTGTAAAGCCCCTACAAGCTGTTATGCTAAAGAAGCACAAGAACATAAGAATGTCTCTTGCAGAAATGCCCCATATGTAGCATTTTTGTGTGTGATTGTTGCCTCTTTCTAGCAAGTGCAAGTTTAGCCCAGTTGTTTCTAAATTCAAAGAAAAAAACCCAACACATTCCCATAATGGAAAGCTGTGTGTCCAGGTTTCAGAGTGGTATGTGCAGTGAAATTCCTGGAGCCAAACAGAAGGATGAACTGCATTACTTCAGGGGTCTCAAACTCGCGGCCCGCGGGCCAATTGCCGGGACGGGCGGGGCACAGGGGAGGGGCCCTGCGGCCTTCAAAGTGCCGGCGGCACCCGGGCCGGCCGCGGGATGAGCGGCCCACCACCACCACCGTGGTGCTGGAATACTTGATGCGGCCCAGCCTCACCCAGACTCTACTTCCAGCGGTCCCCAGGTAAGTTGAGTTTGAGACCCCTGCATTACTTAGAAAAGAGAGGCCCATCAGCAACTTTCATAATCACTGCCCCTCCTCAAAGCTCCCAGAAGCAAAGTAGGTTAAGTGAAATACACAAATATATGGACACAAAATCATAGACTCATAGAAGAATTGCAAGGGGCCATGAAGGCCATCGAGTCCAACCCCCTGCTGTTGCAGGACACTAAGTTACACTATCCTACTCAGATGGCTGTCCAGGTTCTTTTTGAATGTCTCCAGTGTGGGAGCACCCACCACCTCTCTAGGCAGTTGGTTCCACTGTTGTATTGCTCTGACCATGAGGAAGCTTTTCCCAATGTCCAGCCTGAATCTGGGTCATCGCAACTTGAATTGATTCTGTGTCCTACATTCTGGCATTACCAAGACGAGATCTTGACTTTCTTCTTTGTGACAGCCTTTGAGTTACTTATAGAGGGATATCATGTCCACCTCAGGTGTTCAATGTGAGTGGGGTGTGCATGTGTTGAATAACTTTTAAGTTACCTTGCTGGATATTTTTATCGGGAGGGTAGGGGCAAGAATGGGAAACCTGGTAATAGCTCTAGATCACACCAGTTGAATGGCACTCCATAGAAATAAGTTACTACTCTATTTTGAGTCAAAGTTTTATAAAACATGTTTTACTGATAGGTATTTTCAAGAACTGATCCGAGTATACAGCTTTCTTCTAGAGTAGGCAAAGTTCTATTCTTGAGCAAATCAGGTGGTCAGAATCATTTTAATTCAACCCTTCCTGGATCCTGAGTGTTGAAAGAAAGTATCAATGCAGTAGTACCCAGCATCTCAACATCAGCACCTATCTCTTGTTACACAGGGCCACCTATAAGGCCAGCCACAAGGCCAACCATAAGGCCAACCAGTGATGCAACCGAAGAAACTGGTAAACAACTGCTTTTGACTTTTGCGGGATTGCATTTTCCATATACACCATTTGTACTGCCTTCAAGAGAAATTCTCAGGCAGTTCATAAACTCTCCTTTTATTGGGAATTTAATCTTGATGTATTAAAGCTGAACATGCATATTTCCACTATGGACGTACACATGAACAGCTAAATTGTTCTATACCAATCTAGACTATTGGCCAGTCCTCGTAGCAAGATCAACCCTGGCAGCAACTTACCATGTCTTGAACAAAGCTTCTCTGACCCTGATAAGATACTGCAATTGCTAAAAATAGGTGCTAATGCTTCAGGTTCTCTTGCTGATAAGTAGTCTGCCAAACAGACATCAAAACTGGAATTTTATGGCAGGTAAGAAAACTGAAATATTTATAAAGCAGAGAGAGGTTATAGATAATATTGTGAGTCACCAAAGAAAATGTATGTTATAAATAATAAATCATCATAAATTATAATGAATAGGGAAGCCCTAACATAAAATGAGAGTCAAAAGGATTGATTTGGGCAGGATTCTGACAAATGAAGAGAAGGATGGACTGTAGCTAAGTGGTTCAATTGATAGCATCTCCAGGATGGGCTAAAAAAGATGGGCACAAAGAATCCTGCCTGAAACCCTGGAGAGCCACTGCTGCCAGCTGGTATTGGCAGTATAGGGTTAGCAGGACTGATAATCTGACTCAGTATAAGGCAGCTTCCTATTTGAAGAACCTTTACTAGGGAAAAGCTACATAGTAGTATGGGAGCAGCTTTGAGGAGTTAAAATTTTACAGCACAAAACCTTGCTTTGTATCTTGCCTCCTAAAAGGAGTGCTCCAGTTCAGAAATCTTAGCAGCCATTCCCTCCCAACAGGTATTTGCACTTCTACCTGCCACATTAGGGGTTCTGTTCTTATTCTCATGTATTGGATGGTTACTCAACATTGGCCTGTATTTGGGGACATTAATCCTCTAAGGAATAGCAGAAGTTCTTTTGTACTTCTGCAAACTTCAGGATTCTCATGAGTAAATTCATAGGTCCCTCTTATTTCACCTCACTATGGTCCTGTTGATGCCCAGTGTTCCAAGCTTGCTAGTAGAAGCAATAAGAGTAAAGAGACTGATAGAGGTCCAACTACAACGCTAAAGGAAACTAATGTAAATAATGTAATATAAGTGGAGTAGCCATTGCATAGACAACTGCTGTGTATGTTCTCTGGGCATAAGCACTTTCCTTTCTGAAGCAGGTATTTTGTTGTGCTTTGTGGGGACAAATAAGTGGCATAGTGACGAGGTAGACTGATAGAAATCAAGGTGGTTTAAATAATTAACTTAAAACAACAAGAAAAAGGTCTGTTGACATAACTGATTTAAATGAAGCTCCCTGCTGAAACTTACATATTTCCGAAACAGTGGCACAAATATAACAACTGAGGACACAAATCAGTTTGGATGCCCATAGTCCTTTGATCTTACAGACTTATGGGCATCCTACAGAGGGTGGGAGGAATGCAGGGCAAACACCACCTCCTACAATTGAGCTAGATGGCCAATTTGGCTATCTAACTGAGGAGCCCCAGAGCTGAAGAAAAGCACCCTGAAGCAAGCCTGAGTCTTTACAGCACCTGTCACCTCCCCCTCCCCAAAATGGCCACTAAAGCCCATCTTCAAGATTTCATTTGTGACCTCATATCCACACCAGTTGCAAGGGGAGCAGGGAAGGCACAAGCAGGCTTTGTATCTTTTTAGTCTTACTGTATATATTTTGAATTCATTTATTTTCAGTAATAGAAGGAATGCCTGTAAAATAAACCCGTATAGACTCTTTCATATGACCAGCATCCATGACAGCTAAAGGATACTAGCAAAATTGTATACATCTCTTCTCAGAAATAGATTCCACTGAGTTCAGTGAGGCTTAATCCCAAGTACTTTGGTATAGGATTGCAGCCTTAATATAAGAATACAGAAAAATGCACCTGAACCTTTTTTCCTTTCTAGTTTGTTCCATTCTGCTTCATTCAGTCTTGGCCCAGTCTGGTCCTGAGAAAAACAAATACAAATGAAAACAGAATGTGCAAAATTAATTGGTCAAAGAAACATTTGATTGTTATGGGGCTGAAAAAAATCCAGCTTAATTTATTTAAAAGCTTTTTAGAGATATTTTTTTATCCACTATGCTATAATCCCTTTTTGTCTGAACTAACTTTTGTGCCTTGCTTGACCCAATTCCACATAAGCATGGAGCAGCAATCATAGTACCTTATGTCTGTGACTTAGTCAGAAAAACTAAAAGCCCATAACTTAGAAGAAATAAGTCTGGACAGAGTCACTCACTTGAGATAAAAAATTGAAATTAATACCCATGTTTGATTGGTGGGTAACTTCATTTTCATGAAACTGTAAATATAGGTTTACAATGATATTTATATCATTGCTTATAATGATATCTAATTATAACTTGTTATTTTTAAAATTATGGAGAAATATAGTACTTGAATACCTTTTAAATATCAAAGTTCAACTTACATTCTAACATCAGTTTTTAAAAATTAAACATTGTATTTTTTATATCAACTCTGGCACTCAGACCCAGGTTCTTCCTTCTCTTTAATTTTTTTGGACAATTACTTATCCTCAGTGACTAGTTAGGCTGGGGGCCCCTCAACATTTTTGGACTCATGGGAAGTTATGGAATTTCAGAAATTGCTGTGGACACAACCACACAATGGCTGCTACAGAGTATGTGACTAGTAACATAATGATTGTTGTAGGGCCTGGCTAGTTAAAGGACAAGTAATTCACCCAAGTAACTGAGTACAAAAAGGGTCTAAGCTTTAGAGTCAGTTGACATATTTGACCCACAAAAGCACAAGAAAATCCCATTTCACAGAAGGCAAACGAGTGAGGCTAAAAGATATTTCATCATCCATTTCTGTCATTCACACACAGGCATAACTCCAATTCCTGCCCTCACCTGTCTCATCCGTCTTTCTTTTCTAGTGTTAGAGTGCTGTGCATGCTTATATGAAACTTAGTGGGACTTGCTTCTGAGTAGGCATACTCAGGCTTGCTCTTCTCATCCTATCCAGACACATTTTTTCCAGCCCAAAAATAAAGGGAAATACCCCGAGTCCCAAAAGGAAAGACTCTACATTGAACCCAGACTCAGCCACCACATTCCTACCTCCTGTGCTATCAGAGCGCCTGCCTTTGGAATCTGCTCTGCATGATGGGATTTTAGAGAGCCAACCATTTCCCCTGTCTGCAGTAGTCAGCCCCTAGTTTTGTTTTATTGTTTTCTTTTCAGTTTGTGAAGCCTAGTTGTTTTTCTGTGCATGTAGGCTTCTCTTCATGCAGGCAAGTGTTTTATAAACTTCCTCTTTCGTACAGGATCTGCACAGAGTCCAGATGGAGCAGGTCCTAAAGATGAACCAGGTAAAACTAAAAGGTGCTGGTGGAAAAGAAGCAATCTCCTATTTAGGTTATCTACTGCACTTTGTTGCAGGAAAAAAAATCTCAATATAAAATTAATAGAAAGGTTGTACATGAAGTTAGGAGAGACACCAGGGATAGGATACATCATAACAAATGAGGACCTAGAATATGTAGGCTATCTCCTACACACCTTAATTTTATACCATCATCTTTTTTCAGACCCTTTAAATCAATTTATAATGAGTGGGGATGAGGTAAAAAAATCTTGGAGCTTTGCAGTGTAGCTGATTAAGCTGGTAGAGGCAGGCTTTCCACCCCACAAAACTCAGTTATTTGTCTTTAAATTCCTGCATTTGGCTTGCATATAATACTGAACTAGACATATCACCATGGTTTGCTAGCTATGGTCCAAGGAATTCCTAGCATAAGGCTAAACTTGAACAGGGTTTCTGTGATTTTTTTAAATAAAATTCTCCTATAAATGTGATTAAGGCTGCATTCCTGTACTGATTTGCCAGGGGCAAGCCACTTTGATCCAAATGGGACTGTTTCTAAGTAGACATGTATAAGATGGAGCGCTTGTTTTTCTTCTTTTAAATACTGCCTTTCTTGACCACATTCCTAGGCCTCAGAAGAAGCATAAAAGGGTTTCCACTGCTGATCCTCCCTTTCTCAATTTGTGTACTTGGATACTGTACAAAAAATTCCTCTTTTTATTATTATAAGAACATTTCTATGCCGCCCCTTGCCGAAGCCTCGGGGCGGCTTACAACACAATAAAATACAATAAAATACAAAAATAACAATATAAAATTAAAATTAACAATATAAAATAAATAAAAATATAAAATATAAAAGAAGTCACCCTGCCCAGATAAATAAGGAAATATTGTTAACAATTAAAATGACGTTTAAATAAAAAGGTCTTCACCTGGCGCCGAAAAACAAATAACGACGGTGCCAGGCGGACCTCTCTGGGGAGCACATTCCATAGATTGGGCGCCACCACAGAGAAAGCCCTCCTCCGAGTACCTACCCTCCTAATTTCTTTCATGGAGGGTTCCCGGAGAAGGGCCTCTCCTCAAGGGGCGGTTGGGCATATATGGATGTAAGCGCTTCTTCAGGTAACCAGGACCCAAGCCGTTTAGGGCTTTATAGGTCATAACTAACACCTTGAATTGGGCCCGGACTTCAATGGGAAGCCAGTGAAGCTGACGGATGACTGGAGTCATGTGAACATAACGCCCTGTCCCCGTCAGCAACCTGGCAGCTCTATTTTGAACCAATAGAAGTATCCGGACCGTCTTCAAGGGTAGCCCCACGTAGAGCGCGTTACGGAAGTCAAGGCGGGAAGTCACCAGCGCGTGTGTCACCGTCGCCAGGCAGTCGTACTCCAGGTAGGGGTGCAGCTGATTAATGAGCCGAAGCTGAAGGAAAGCGCTCCTCGCCACCGCTGTCACCTGAGCTTCCAATGAAAGCTCTGGGTCGAGGAGTACTCCTAAGCTGCGGACCTTGTCCCTAAGAGGGAGTGCAACCCCATTCAGGACCAGGTCAAATCCACCCTCTCCGAAGCCTGATCCGCCAACCAACAGGACCTCCGTCTTGTCTGGATTGAGCTTCAGTTTACTGGCCCTCATCCAGCCCATTACCTCGGCCAAGCACCGGTTCAGCACAGCCACTGCCTCACCTGGATTGGTGGAAAATGAGAAATAGAGCTGGGTATCATCAGTGTACTGATGATTCCGCAGCCCACACCTCCTGATGACCTCTCCCAACGGTTTCATGTAGATGTTAAACAGCAAAGGGGACAAAGGTGGTACTCCATAGCATAGCTGCCATGGTGCAGAGCCATAGTCCCCCAGCACCACCTTCTGGAATTGGTTATTGAGGTAGGAACGGAACCACTGCAAAGCAGTGCCTCCGACCCCAAATCCCGCTAGCCTATCCAGGAGGATACCATGGTTGATGGTATCGAAAGCCACTGAGAGGTCCAGAAGAACCAACAGGGATGCACTTCCCCTGTCCTTCTCCCTCCACAGGTCATCGTACAGGGCGACCAAGGCAGATTCAGTACCGTACCCGGCTCTGAAGCCAGACTGAAATGGGTCCAGATAATCAGTTTCATCCAAGAGTGCTTGGAGTTGTCCCGCCACCACCCGCTCCAACACCTTGCCCAGAAACGGGATGTTGGCCACAGGTCTATAGTTAGTGGCCATCTCTGGATCCAGTGACGCTTTCTTCAGGACCAGTTGGACTACCGCCTCCTTTAAAGGGGCAGGCACCCGACCCTCTCTC